TCCAAAATGAGTCCTTCAAACTCCCATGTTCTCCTGCAGAGCATTCAAAGAAGCCTTTTTTCCTGTTTAGCTTCCACATTAGCTCTTCCTAATGGTTTTCAAGTGGGAAGGGTATTAATGTCTCATATCTCCTTATCAAAGCATGCACATCTAAAAACAGATCAGATTTTCCTTTGCTGAGGCAAGTGTATACATTTTCAAGACAAGACTATTCTTCTCCAGTAAATTCTGCTATCATTTTCTCTTCCAAAATAATTCAGTGCAATATAAACTCAAGCATCAGAGAAAAAAAACTGAGATTTAAAGTTCCTGACACTGTGATTTAAACACTGAGATTTAAAGTTCCTTAAAATAATTTGACTTTGATGAATAGTATATGCAGAACAAATTACAACTATTAAAAGTTATTTCTACTGTAAATACAATTTGAAGAGCATTTCACATCAAGATACAGTATTATATGTTGCTAGAGGCAGTTATAAAGCTCATTCAACATTTTACAATGCTAACAAATTCGGTTTACATTGCTGACTATATTTAAATTGATCTTAACATGATTTGCAGTGTATTGCCTGTTTATAAAAACAATTTACTGTCTAGGACTATTTTATCAAAAGTGAAACCTGTCAGTTCATATCTGGCTAGAACCAAATATTTGTAAATAGAGACAGAAAAATAGTTGTTTCTAGACTTATTTTAACTTTTTCCTCTACTGCTTTGCTTTTATTTTAACAAGAAATTTCTGCAAAAGTTCATCTTAACAGAGATGTATTTTGTTTTGAAAAGTCAAATCTCCTCGGGTTCAATGAATCCATCTTTCACTGAATACAATTGCTAATAAAAACTTACAAGTTTATTATATTCACTATTGAAATGCTGTATATTTATTACATATAAATTGGTTATAGAAATTTAGCATATTGATGTCCTTTTTCTGAGAAGTTGGCTTCAAATGTTCCTGACTTTATGGGCTAGATCAAAAATCTAAGAGAAACTTGTTCTTGCCTGCTTGTTTGGACTAAGAATAAACCAGACTTTCCAGATTTCAAAAGAAACTTTTCGTCAAGTTGATTATCCCCTCTCCAGGTTCCTATTTTCTGTCCAACCCTGCACATGCTACAGACAATTTGGAAGTCACTAAGCACAGAAGAGGAGCAGCACCAGCTCCAGGATTACAGCTGTTCCCCGTGCCAAGGGCTGCAGTTAATGAAACTGCACTGAAATTCTCAGTTCAGACCTTTTCAACCTCATAACTTCATTAAAATAATCTTTCTTGGATACAGTGTTCTGCATTCATTATTCAAGCCCAAACTGCAGACTTAAATCCAAGAGAAAAGAAAGTTGAAGCTTTAAGGGAGAGCAGATGAGGGGGCAGAAGGGGAGTGTGTGGCAGTGTAAGGTGTTCTCACACTCAATTCAGAAGCAAAGGATACACAGAGAGCCTGCAGCAAGCTACATGCCACCTTTGACCAGATGCCAAGAAAATTCATGAGAGAATCCCTATTGCCTAAAATAACTGGAAATGACCTGGACTCTTGAGCTTTGTGGGTTTAACTCTTCTCAGGAGAAAGCTGTGTTGTTTAGGGGAGACTGTAACTACAGCTTTGACACCAGGCCTGGGCTTCAAAGGCTTCTTCATTAGTTTAGACCTCATCAGCTTAGAAAGTTTTGGACTCACAAGGTGAATCAGTGCTAAAACAGATAAATTCTGCTCTCTGCTGCTATCTCTACAATTCCCATGTAAGAGGTTTATAACCAGAATTCTTTTGGGGCTGTTAGTGGGGTGTCTTGCCCTGCAAGTTAAGCCCAAGGAGAATCACACAGCTGGGTTTTTTTGCAGCTCAGCATTGCAGCAATTCGAGTGTTTGCCTCTGTAAGGAGCTGGGTGATTCTGAATGAGCACTGACGTGTCTACAGCTGCCTGCACACAGAGCAGAGCAGACAATGAGAGCTGCCCCAGGCCAGTTTCCATGTGCTGCAGCTCACAGCCCAGCCCTGCCATACAAAGGCCCCCAAAGCTCTTCTCTGACCCCCTCTGGACCCAGGCTGGCAGAGCTGCAGGCACAACTGCACTTAAAGGAAGTTTTTAACTCTGTGGTTAAAGGAAATATTCAGGGATTTGAGCAAAAATGCCCTCTCTAAGCAAACGTGGATTAATGCACAGCGATACTGCAGGTAGTGACAGAGGCAGAAAAGGCAGAGTAAGACACAACAAGCATGCTTAGAGCAGCATCCAGCCTTCGTGGGAGGAAGTAATCAGACCTCTGGCAGCAATTACAATTTTTTACTGCACTAAGCTTTGTTTTTATTATGACCCTACTGTTGCTAAGATAGTGCTCTCAAATTACCTTACATACAGACTGTATTAAACAACAGGTTTGCCCAATTTACAGGGCCAGATGGTTCTCCAAAGTTTAACATATCATTGGATTTACACTATTAAAAAAAAATCCCACAACCTTGACACTGCTCAGCCAAGCCAGTAAATAACTTTTCCCTTGTCCTGATAGGCAGTATGTGGATACAAAGTTTATTTCCTTTCCTGTTTGCAAGTGATGCCTTGCACGTGGGAGCAAATCTGGTTTTTGGAGATTAGGATGCCCTGTTGAACAGTGAAGTCAGCACCTAGGAAACATGCTGGGCCAAAGACCTTCACACCAAAACTTCATCTGCCAGCAAGGGGAGGGAAGGCAGGTGGAGCAGCAGGATTATAAATACAAATTAGAAATGAAGCTGGCTTGGGAAAAAGGGAAAATAACCATATAAACAGCAAAAGGTAGGAAAACAAACTCTTCCAGCCTGGATATTTCACATGCATCGAGAAGATCTGGCACATTTCATCATGCCATGAAATGTTGAACTGGTTCAGAATGATTAAGAGACATGACAAACACCACCAACTTTGAACCAACACTTCAGCTGATTGCTGTTTAAATCAGAGATGTAGCAACTCAAAATAATCATTGTTCAAACAGCAATGAGATGCAGCACCCTAGCACAGCTTATGACACCAGCCTAAGATTCCTGTTTTAGAAATTAAGCCTTCAGCCAGGGAAGCCTCTGACCTCCAGGAGCTTAAGGCCTTTTTAAAATAGACAATGGCTTTGGTGCTTCTTGGGCAGTTTCAAACTGATGAAGAGTGGTTCTTAAGAGGGCAATCTTGAAGTTCAATTAATGCCTGATTACAGCAAATATTTATTTTGAACGCCCAGAATAGTTACTAGGGATGTGCTTTCAGAAATCTAGGACAGCTGAACATTTTGAAAGCCTTGAACATGTTAGTATAGCTTTAAAACAAAGCTCAAAGATTTTTTGAAAATCCAATTTAAACCATTAAAATAGTGGTTTTCTGAATTAGCCACTTAAGTCTGAGAATGAGAGATTATTCATGAGGCACCCAACATTATGGAGAAATTAATTAAGCACTCAAAAAGTGCTTTAAATCCTGTGTGTCATAGTGAACTGTCCTTAAAAAAAGATCACTGACATTCAGGCTTTTCTGTACCCCTGGTTTTACACTCTATTGTGCTGAAGGATTTTACACTTTACAACACTTTCTCACTGGTTTCCCCAATTAACCACCTCAAAGGCATTCACACAGTACATTTCTGAAGATTAATTCCATTAGTAACATTTCCTTGCCCAGATTTTGCACATTCCATGATACTCTGCATATACCATTGCAAACAAAGTAGCTCAAAATAATTTTTCTGGAAAACTTTGCCTCAAAGATGAATTTTTGGCTGCAATGTTGAAACAAGTCTTCAGTTTTTTTAATAGCAAAGCCTTGTGCAGTAGCCATTTTGGCATTTAACAGCCTTTGAGACATTGAGGAAGATTCAGCATCACCTGGTTAAGCAGATAATAAGCACAAGGAGTTTGAATTTCCACTTGATCCAGTTTCTAATGCCACTGAGTTCAATGTAATATCCTGTGGCCCCTTAAAAACACAACTACAGCAGTATCCAAAACGCTGATTTAAATTTGTTATGCCAGATTTTACTTTTGGGTATTGATAGTTTACAGTTGTCTAGAACTTACTCAAAACGTTTCCTTGAAAAGCTGAAGGCAGCTGAAGTGATCAGAATTGTCTCTTCTTGAGCATGGTTATGGCTTGGTGAGGGGGACACCCAAATACATCCCCAAACAACACTGCAAAGAAAAAATGCTGATAAACTGATGTACATTGGAATTGTACCTAAATGCCTGTACACTCTACATGAATTCCAGTTTGGATACTGGGGTATACTCTGAATATGCATTTGATTTTTTTAATGCAAATTCTAAAGACACACTATTTTTATTCAGACATGTAAAAAAATGGCCTAAGCAAAATCTTTTTCTAAAGGCAGCAACCTATGAAAAGTAGTATCAGTAAAAGTAGTGTCAGTTTATTCATTTGATTCAGAGAATTAAAATAACTGGATTAGTACCTTCAGTGCAAGATGGAAGTTCTCAGAAAAGGCAGCTTCAAAACAATCAGAAGAAAGCAATTAGCTTCCCAAGCCTAAAAGAAACAGTTGAAGCTGTATCTGCTTCCATAAAACAGCTGGAGAGAAAGCCAACATTTCCCAATCCTCATTAGCACCAGCACAGAGTTCTTCATTCAACATCAATAAGAAACCCTGCAGGCTCTCCCCATCTCAACCACTTCTATTTTGCATTTCTGAAAGGAAAAGCTATCAGAACAAAGAGATGCATTGAGAGCACCTAGACTGGGGTAAGTATCCCACCAGCAACATCTGGAACCCCCCACCAAAATGAGACACTCTGCAGCCTGGGCACAGCCAGAAGGAAGGAAAAAGTCAAGCTGGTTTCATGTGGTTGATTTTATTATTACATACTGATAATACATTTCAGCACATACTGATATCAGAGTAAACCCCCATGGGACAAATAAGTGCCATAATGGAAATTATGGAACAGAAGACTGGTGTAAAAAGTGTGGAGCAGCACAGCATCTGATTAAAAAAAAAAAACAAAAAACAAAAAAACAACCAACCAACCCCAAAAAAAACACAACCAAAAAACCAACCAAACAAAAACCCAGCCCAAAACAAACAAACCCCACCTCCAACAACAAATCAATGCTGTGAAAACTTGTGATATTAAACTTCACTTGGAAAAAAATTTAAAAAAAAACTTAGGAGAGGCCTAAAGTTCACAAACTTCTGAAAACACAGGAAAAGCCATGTGCATCCCCCCAGTGAATCCATCACAACTCAATTCCATGAAGATCTTTTGCAAGTTCAGTGCTTAAATCTTCTACATATTTCATATTCTTCTTTACTGTAAGAGAGCACAGTAAGCTGGTCTATTCTACACACATTGTTTCACTCTTTTGGGGCAAATGACAATCACAGTTTCCTCTAGCCTTAAACAGCTATTTCAACCAATATATATATATACATACATTTGTAAACAAAATGTTACAGAAATGCCTTAAAGCAATTTCACTGAAGTAGCCCAATTCAGCCATTTGTGCTCTTCACCTCCAAATCCAAAGTGCCAAACACAAGCAGGAAAGGTTTCCACCGTTGCAGTCTAACAATGATCCCATTTACTTGGTGAATTTGTAAAAATCATTTCAAGCCACAATTCCAATTAATTCTAGAGGGCTGAGAACAGGAGTAATACATTTACAGTAACTGCACAGCTTGCATGGCCAAAAAACGTCTCCAAACTCATTTTTAAACTGTTATTAACAAGTAATGGAATGTACATGTGCTGACCATTAAATGGAGAACTCAAAAACAGACACCTACTGCACCAATCCAAATTTGTTAATGCAGAAACATATTTGAAAATATACAAAATCTGAAGTTGTTACGTGAAATCAAAACCTGGTTTTAAAAAGTGCACAGTAAAAACTGAAGGTAATTACTATATAAATTATCCACAGAGTGTGTATTTCCTGGTTTAGAGCCAACATTAAGTTCTGTTTTATCTGTCACAAGTTCTAAATATTTTCAAGCCATTTACAGCACCAATTCAGTTTTTACTTGACCCAAAACCAGCCTCAGCTTCCTGGAACAAACAGGAACTGGATAATGAATGGTCACTATCTGCATCCTGTGCAGCAGCAGCTTCCAAAGACTCAGCTGTAAACTATCGATTCTTGTTCTTTTTAGAATTTCCCTGCAAGAAGAAAGAAGCAAAGAGAACATTATCATTCAGGTAAGGAAATCTAGACAGGTAACATACAAAATCTGATGTCTAATAATTTATGCCTACAGCAAACAAGGTACAGTCAGACTGAAAATAAACACTCCACAGACTTCTAAGTTTGACAGATTGCAACCATTTGCTCTGGAAATTCCTCTGTTTCTATAAGCACAAGAGAGGCAAGTACCAGATATCTCAAACAAGCACAACAGTGCCTCACTACAACTGAAACCTGGGAAAGACATTTGAGGGACATCCCAAGACATTCAATTGTATTAATACCACTAATACTGTAAGGGCAGTGAAGGCAAGTGAAATCATAATCCACCTTTATGTGCTACTCCAAATAACTTCTTATAGAATAACTGTATCAAATTAAAAACCAATCCCCCACCATACTGGGGTTTTTTCCAAAATGAATTTTATTTTAATTCAGGTTGTACATATTATTCCTAGTTCAGAGTTTGTTCCACAGTTAGCCAACTCACATTTGACCTTCAGTAATTCCACAAAGGAAATGTGGAGCTTAAAATAAAGTTTTGTGCAATAGTTACTTGCTGGCAATTCTCAGTCTTCCTATTTCCTGAAGATAACATTTGTTTTGAATCTAACCAACAACTCTCTCCAACTGATAAGGGCTTTAACTGCATCATTTGGATTCCAACTGGATTCCAAGTGGATTCCCTTCTACATTTGTTAACATCTGAAAACCTGTGTGGCTTCTGTTGTGAGGTTCTGAGGTCCTTACAGACAGAGGACCACTTCAAGTCTTACAAGTATGGCAAGTGAGAAATTCCAGAAAACATTTTATAAAAACATGAAGTGCCACGGTCAGTATGCAGCCAAGAGCTTCCTTCTGGAAACACAAAGGCTTATACACCACAAAGTAATTTTAAAGAATACAATGCCAAATTAAAACACTCAGAAATCTGAAGAAAAGCAGGGGGAAGAATTTACTCTAAAAAATAAAAATCACCATCACAGGATCTTGATTCAGAACATGGAATTTATTTACTATTTTTACTTTTTTAATCCTTCAATGCCTACCTGCTTCCATGCATCCCAGAAATAAGGAGAATAATGATAATTTATTTGTGTCACAGTCAGACAAGTGAAGGGCAAAGGCCTTCACAATATCTGTTCCTCCCTAGAAGCATCAGAATAGGATGTACCATGGTTTAATCACTGGTTGCTCAAAAAAGCAGACTTCTGTATTTTTCATCATTAGGTAAGTAAAAAAAAAAATCTGTTTCTGATTTTTTACAAGTGGGTAGACTCCTTGCCTGGTAAAGAATTTAAGTGTGCATTTCAAGCTCACAGAATACAAGTGGCAACTTTTTCATTCCTACACAAGGGACAGATGAGCTAGAATGTGGAAATAAAACAGAGAAAGAGACCAGCTGCCATGGACAGAGTATGCTGCAACAAAAAGGAGTGCAGAAGGGACACTTCTACCCAGAACTTCATCCTAACCACCAGCCTCAACAGCTGAGTTTACAAATAGCTCCATTTTCACCAGATTAAAACAAAAAAAAATTATGTGATCTGCCATCAGAGGGTACACTTTGAGAACCTAATGGGAAACAGTGACATGAAGAGCTTGTTCTTTCCCACATGTGTGTTTAGCAAGAGTTTTTTTCTTCACTGAAACTTGAAGGAACAAGTTCGGAGTTTTCTTTCCAAATGGTTCAGAGCAAGAATTACACCTTGTGAGCTGGTTTGTCCAAGGGCAGTGCTGCAGGAACAGCAAATGTAACCCTGCCATCCCCAGCTGCACTGCCAGCTCACCTTACTGGTCATCTTTAGGGTATCAATCTCTTCCCTTTGCTTGGTCAAGGTTTCATTCATGCTGCACAGGTGGTCACTCATCATGCTCAACTGGTCCTCATAGCTCCTCTTTGTTGTCATCAATTCATCCTAAGGGAAAAATTAAAACAACCAGAGGCCCTGGCTCAGTATTAGTGATACCTGGCAAAGCAGCACACTTCCACCTCCACCTAGTCAGCTCCACTTTTGATGCTGAGTGTGTGCAATTCAGCTAAAAAACCCCTGTTTTATGAAAGGAAGTCAGCAGCCACTTTTCTTTTACCTGAAGTCCCATGCATGGTTTGTTCCCTTTATTTTTGTGTTGTTTCCTTTAGATTTGTTCCCCCACTTTTTATGGCTTACATAAAAGAGTAACAGCTAAGTTTTCCACCACTGCTTCCAGCCAGGAAACAAGTAAAGTTTATGGGGTTAAAGCATGGCCTGCACAAGAACACACAAGGCATCCAAAGCTGAAGGAAGCACCACTCCACATGGAGCTAGAGAGAGCTATGATCTCTCTGGGATCACAGAGACATGGGGGGATAGTGTGCATGGCTAGAACACAGCAATGAAGGGATAAACACACTTTAGGGAGGACAGAAGGGAAGAAATCATGCTCTGTGTGAAGAGGTGGCTTGAAGACTAATAAATCTCATCAGTAGGAGAACAATAGGGTGACAGGCATCTGCTGCAAGCAGGTAAAAATCTCCCACTGACAGACCCTGATCCTCATTAGGGATTTTAACTACTCTGACACATCCTGGAAGGGCAGCAAGGTGGAACACAAGCAACTGAGGAGTTGTCTTGAGTGTTGCATAGAACTTCTTGATACCAGTGATCAGTGGGACCAAGAGATGCTCTCTGCTGGACTTTTTACTCACAAATAAGGAAAAGCTGATCAGGGATGTGAAAGCCAATGGCAGCCTTAGCTGCAGCTACCATGAGTTAGTGGCATTCAGGATCCTGAGGGAAGTAAGATGAATAATAGAATTACAGCAACCCTAGATTCAAGAGGAGTAGATTCTGGCTTCTTTCTGCTTGGAAAGGTCCCAGGTAAATCTGCCCTGGAAGTTACAGGGAGGGGCCCAGGAAAGCTGAATGATCAAGGACAGAACAAGGAACAACCCAATGCCTAAGACATGGAGTGACTGTGGCAGAAGACCAGCATGGCTGTATAGGAAATACCCAGTTCCTATTCCTATATTCCTATACAGACTGGCTGTATAGGAAATATCCAGTTCCACAGCTTGATCTGAACTCTCTGCTCTGACCAAAGGAGGGGACAAATCACCTTCAGAGGACCCTTCCAACCTCAACAAGTCTCTATTACTCAGTATTATGCAGACTAAACATACAAATGGTGTGTGCCTGCTATCTTTTCCTAGGAAGTTTAAAATGCAGTTGGAAGTTAACATCTCATGCTGAGTTCAACATCTATTGTGGAATTTCTTAAAGGAACAAATCAAGGAAGTGTTTTAAGAGGACTGTCCATGAGCACAATAGCTCAAAGCTTCTAACATTATATTCACAGCCTGTATGGAGCAATTTTGGTACTCACCATCACAGACAGATGAGCAATAATGATATGAACTAAGTGTAAAGAAAACATGAGGGAATTTATGAATTGTGTATTTATTTATACTTTATTGTACCACTGGCTTCTTTCTCAGCTGTGTGGAAGAGAAAGACAAAGGGACAGGACACTCACAGGATGCCATGAGAGTTGATTTTTGTTAACAACAGCTTCTTAAAGATTACCTCAAAGCTATCTTTGCTTAATATTAAGGTATCCATATTAAAAAATCCAAAGCAACTTGGCATTTTTTAAAACTTTCAGACCCAGGTGCAAGAAAGGATTAAGAATTCCTTATTTCATCTGGAATCAGTCAAACCACCACCCCTTTTGGGATTACAACTATGTGATTTTCATGAAAATCCATGACATCAAATGAGCTAAAACACACAGGTTTGGCCAATATAACCTTCTCTTGGAAACATGTTCCACTTCAACTTTATACTTGGGATTTAAAGTGTATTATTCAAGGCTCTTCTCCACGTACCACTGGAGTTTTTATATTCCACAACACAGGACCTAGGAATAGCATGGCCAGGCTAGATGGTTGTCATTTTTCTGCTCTACATGATTACAGAAAAATTTACTTGCCTGTAATCTGGTGATGTTTTGACTGGCGAGCTTCAACTCTTCTGTGAGTGATTCCTTGGACTTCTCTGCCAGAGAAAGTCTTTTGGCAAGTGCTCGACACTACCAAGAACAGGACAGGGAGGGTACAAGGGACAAAAGTCACTTCCTCAGTATTGCCTTGTGGCATCCTTAAGTGCTTGCTTTGGACTTTTCCATCTGTGATACTTGGATTTCAAGGAACTCAGAGCTTGTGCACATTTTTAAATGCAGAGGTAATGGAATAGTTAACATGAAATGTTTCATTTAACAGAGCTACCATATTGCCAATCCTCTAAATATTGTATTTTTCATGTAACTGCTACAAAACTTCTCATAAATAAAAAGCAATGCAAACAACTCACTTCATACAAGGCTCAAATATCACAGAAAAGATGGTTCCTCCATACTATGTCATCTTCAATTAAAAAAATAATATTTAAGAGGATTTGCTCTGTTAACCTAGTATATTCCACATCATTTATTACACAAACCAAAACAGCCACTACTTTCAAGAAAAGTTCCCTCATGACTTGAAATGAAAAGGAAACTATAGATACAATGAATCATCTTGTTCATTCTTGCAGTATAACTTATGCCTAAGAGCCAATTTTCTCAGGAGAGTTGTTTCCATCACTTCATAATACACTCAAATATTTTTGAATGACATCAGCATCACTATAAAATTAAGTCAAAACTTCCTTGGTAACTAAAGCCAGCTGCTTCAGCTTATGTGAACAAATCTATACATGACACACATTATACTTCTTAATACAGCCAAGACAAGGCTACCAAAGGATTTATTAAACATAAAAAGTCCTTTTACAGTATCTGTTTTTATGCGTGCCAGACCGCAATCAAAAATATTCCAGGAACAGATTTTCATAAAACATTATGCTCCATATATTGAAACTTACTATCACAGCACTGTGGGAAGTTCAAAAAGAGATTTACTGTCCTTGCCTGCATGCTCACCTCAGCATGGAAGTGCACTGATTTGCTGTCAGCAAGCTGCAGGTGAGAGGTCAGCTCTGCTATCCTGGCCATGTAGTGAGTTTTTATCAGGTCTTCACGAGACTCACCATCTGGAGCCTGGCAAAGAAAAGTTTAACCAAACAGCATTTATGTTTACTAGACTGAATACCCAAATCACAACATTGCCTCTATACAGACTTTTTTTCTTCTTTCCTTCTGAGCCCTGGCTGCTCTATCAAAAAGTATCAAATTCCCCAAACACAACAGATGAATTACAGCAGGGCACACTGCAATTTTATCACTCTGATGGGGACTCAAGATTTCCTTACAGGACAAGGAGCTGACTGACAAGGTAAGAATTTAACTTGCTTTAATATAGCAAGTGTCTGATGAAGATGAAAATCCAGAAGGGAACAGCTTTCACCTACATGAAAATTTACTGTTTCTTCCCAACAAGGAAGAATTCCTTCACATAACTGTATTTCAGAAGCGTACAAAAGTCATAACCATTACTAATGTTGCATGTTCCAGAAGCTTCTTTAGACATTTGAAATTAACAAATAAAAAATAAAAAACCCCAACAAATCAGTAGTTTACAGGCTAACCCACTGGAGTCAGCTTTCACATGATCTCTCATTACCTTCAAGTTCAGCACTGTGCAGAAGCCTCTAAGGACTTGTATCAGTTACTATCCAGCCCCCTACCCCTTTTCAATCACACTTCTAGAAGGAGGAGTGCACTAAGCTACACATCAGTTCCCTGTGATATCAGAAAGGGAAAGCAGTGAACCTTACTTCTCAGAAGTTCCTGCTGGAGCAAGTGTTACATTTTAGCAGGGCTAAATGAAGTGTTAACATTTATTCTGAGGGCTGGCTCAAGGTTTGTTTCAGTGCTACCCGTTGTAACCCAGGCACTGCAGATAGGGACGTTTTATGCAGCTTGAGCCCTTCCTCCAGGGTTAAGAATGGAGGCTTGGGATAGTTTGGGCTCCTGAGGCACAGCCAGACCATCACCAGCCAGGGTCCCTGTAAACATCACCAACAGGATGGGACTGCCAGGAATGTGCCTTGAGCTGCTGTATTTTCCAGCATCACTCTCATTACATGGTTATGACAATGGAAAGATGCCAGCAGCTCACATCTCAGGCAGCAGACCAAGAACTTAATGTTACAACTTATAAAGTAAGTTTTTTGACCAATCACACAAAGCAAAAGCACATTGACAGTAGTTCTATCCAACCACTATAAGCACACATTCCTTTGGTTAAAACAATGCCTGCTTATTTCAAATACAATACCTGCTTGTAAGCCTTCAAACACAATGCACAGAGCTCCATTATTAAGCTTAGAACTCCCTAATATCTCACTAGATAAACTTTTCTGCAGCTTAGGGAGTTATTCTAGCCAAGGTTAATACACAGACCATTGTTCTATTTGTCCTTACTTTTTTACTTCTTACATAATTTTTCTGCTGACCTATCTCATGGCTACTGCTTAGCTCCAACCACAGTTCTGCTGTCTCTGAGGCCTGCCTTTTGCAGCTCTCCCAAAACCCTCTGATTTTATAGATTCCCACAATGACCAGTGCCTTCCTCAAATTATAGAAAGCAGACCCTGACTCCAGTTCACTCTGCTCCAAAAGTCTCACAAGGGCCAAATAACAGTTCACTAATAGAAGAAGAAAATTAAAGAACACATGGATTTCAGAAATTTGACTATTTAGTATATAAAGACTATCTGGTCAACTCATGCCATTATACAGGAGTATTCTTAGTAATTCGACCTGTGGAATAAGTTTAGCAGAATCAGAATTGAAGTATTTAACAGATGGACTTTAATAATATTTAAAACAGATTACCTTTTCATTATCAGTAGTTACAGTCAACATTCCAATCTAGAACAAGGAAGAAAATACACTTAATGAGAAACTGCAAAAAAATAGATACCATAGCTGCATTTTGGTTTCAATCTTAGGACTTTGAATTTAAACAATCTTGCAATCATTCAAACTGAAATCAAACTTAAGTACTTCCACCTGTAACATAAACAAGAGTGGTTACATGAGTGCCTTGAACAGAATTAAACCTGACAACAACTCTCAGAAGTATCTCTCTTGTCTTAGGAGGTACACAGGGAAAAGGCAATAAAAGCAACAAGATGCAGCTGGGCTCCTATGGTTATGCAACTGCTTGATCATATGAAACTAATTCAGAGCCACGTTAGCACACTGAAACATTACTTGTCATGTTTAAGAGGAAGGAAAGTCAACCTGGATTTCTTGAATACCTTCCAAATTCCTTCCTTTCCTTTCTGACTAGCAAGCACTGACAAAACTCTACAAGAGCAGTGTAACCAATACCTGGTTTCATGAAAGGATATCTTCCCAGAGGATCTAAGGGGCTTTTCCCCCCTTGATCTCAACAGGACTAGAGATTCATGTTTATGGGGAACATTCATACAATATGTTGACCCATGAGTAACATTCTCATCAAACTCCTAAGGAATCAAATAGAGGATCAAAAACTTAAGATGCCAGTGTACTTCAGAATTGGAGCTTTCAAAACAATCCATTGGTTACTTTTATCTTGGAACAGGAAAGCAGGGAGGACAAAAAAAAAAAGAATTCTATTGAATGCTGAGTGGATTTATTATTTCTTACAGATGACATTCCTGTTAATACCACTATGCCACTTCAGAAGTGGAATTCAGGGGAAAGGCCAATTCATTTAAAATATGTTAGTAAACAGGAAAAAGCCATTTACCAGCACAGAAGAGCAAGGAAAGAATGCATGCTATATCCAAAAGCAATTGCTGAACCCAAACTGACCCAATAAGTCTTCAAATCCATTTACAATCACTACCTACCTACTTCCATTTGCTTTAACACACCTAGAGATGAATAAAAGTATTGGAAACACAGGCCCAACCTGAGATACACACCACTTGCAAAGTTCCATAAGTACAGACAAATCAGGAGATTAAACACCCATTATTTCCCCCTCAGTTACACAGGGACAGAACTACAAAAATATCTTCACAATACTAAAGACAGCAAACAAAGTCTCAAAATCCAAGAAGTGCCCAACTCTGCAGAAAGAATTTGCAAGCAGCTTTGCAAAGACAAGGACCCCAAGAGTGAATGCTTTCCAATACAGTCAAAAGGCTTTCATTTTTAGTGTTCCACTGATCAAACAGCACTGCTACTAAAGAAAGTGCATTTTTCTCTATTGAAGGGAAAGGTCACTCACCAGACTGGTGCTCTTAATAGGTTCCCTCAGACTCTTTTCTGTGGTTTCCTTCTTTTGTTCTGCTATATTTGGCAGAACTGAATGCTCCTGGATAGTTTCAGTTAAATGTCCACTAAGAGAGTTCTTCAGTTTTTGGTTTTCTTTCTCTAGCTTAATTTTAGCTAGCTGAGCCTCCAACATCCAGTGTTCTTTTTCTTGTTCAAGTTTTGCAATTTTCTCCAAACTCTGCTGGACCTTTAGGAGGGAAAGTTTACAGTCCAGGTTATTGAACCCAGGGAGGAAAAAACCCACACACAGGAAATGTCTGAGGACAGTATTATTTTAAACCATTACATAAGTGAGCTAACAAAGTGCAGCAGGTAAACAACCACTGCTCTGAGATGTGTGCTTAGCTGTGGCTCTTTGTCAAAAATGGCCACATTATTTAATTAGTTTGAAACATGCACAGCTCATAAAAATGGCAACATTGTACTAGGTGAAAAACCAAAGCAGGGAAGAATTTTATAAAAACCTGAAAGATGTGTACCTGGCAATATCACTAGCTTTTCCTATGCTAGAAAGACAAACTGTCCCCTCCCAGCTGTCCCACCTCACCCAGACAGAACCACCCACTTTGTCCAGGTAAGAAAACAACTATGGAACAGAACACATCTATCACTGCACATTTCTGCTGAAATTCATTTCACTCCTACTAATACACCTAGAATATTGGTAACTACAAAAAAAAAAAATCACCAAAGTATTTGTTCCTGTAACAGTTCAATAACAAGGAGTCAAGCATAGGCTGAGTATACAAGCTAATATAGAAGTGTCAGTATTAATTAGTTATTCACATGAAGCAATAGACAAACTGTGTAGGCCTTTTAAATACCATGTTACCCATCCTTCTTCACCTTCCAAAAAAAAAATATATATATATGCATACTGGCAGATAGAAACTCTAATTTATTACTCTAACTGAAAAGAAAAATCAGTGCTCTTAACCAGTGCAAATAATTCATGCATAGTCCAAAAGAGGACTCAAATCAGTACACAACATTAAAAATTAACCCTTTAGTATGCCTTATTTCTGTCTTTATTTTGCATTTATTTTAATTATTAAAGATTACCTGACTTCTTGTATTTCTGAATGAAGGTATCAATGACATAATCCTGGCTCCTATATCTACCTACATGTACATCCTGCAGATAACCCAGCCTGGCAAGGTTTTTACTTTCAAAACTCTACAAGACATCTACAGTTTAATTTTAAGGTTCAGCATATTCATATATACCTACAAATGACCACAGACATAAATTGGAGACTTTGATACAAGTTTACCTTTACAAAATACACTGCCTTACATGTTAGTACAATGTTAGTGCAATACCTGTTGTGCAAGACCTTCCCTGCTTTCTGTAGAACTCAGGAGAACTCTGCGATTGGCTAAAGCCTCTTCATAAGGCACTGAATCTGCACAAGGCTGCAGAAAAATCAAAAAAACCCCTCTCAAAACATGTTACACACTAGATCAGAACATGCATTCTGCTTTTATTTTTTTACTACTTTCCTTATTTTGGAAAGGAAAAAAACCCATGTTCCAAGTGCTTACCAGGTATAAGGAAAAAATGGTTTGAGCTCTTAAGAAATACTGCCCCAAAAGGTACAGTTGATTAAAAAGTGGTCAGAAAACTCTGAGTGTTAATTAATGATCAAAGGCATCTTAAGGTCCTCTTTACAAACATTGCAGTAAAGTGATTTAGTAACAACTGCTAAGCACATCACTTAATTGTTAATTTTAGTGAAGGCAACAGGGAGATCTGACAGCATTTAATCCTTTGGCTCAGCACATTTTCTCCAGGGTACCTCCTTTTTTTTCCCCCTATGTCTTCCAGTGAATGCAAGTGTAAGAACATGTTTTCATTCACTCCATATTCCTGGTGAATACAGGAGGAAATTTACATAGGCAGCCACCCTCTTCTCCTTGGGAGTCTTGGCACAGAAATGATTAGTGGAAATGGGTAATGGCAGAAGTGGCACATACCCTCAGCTGTGAGGGCAACTACACTCCAAAGCTTTCAGTAGCATTATTGCAATGCTATCCTCAGCATTATTGCAATAACCTCAGCCAAAACCTGTTGTTCAGACCATCTCTACCATTCCAAACCCTGCAAACCCTTAAGTTTGTGTTCTGCTTGGCATAACCACCAACAGAACTGAGCTCCCTCTGTGCAAGCACACTGGCTGAACAAACCTTCTTCAAGGACTTCACATAAGCAGCTGCCTTCTTCTTGTACTGCAGCATGCACTCAGCTGAGAGAGGGCTGATGAACTCTGCCCCTCCCTTGGGGCCGTAGCTCAGCGAGCTGCTGAAGTGCTCCAGGTTGCTGCTGAAGAACGAGGCCATCTAAACACATCAAGAGAAGTGGCTCTCTGAATTAACCAGGAGGAGTCAATGGAGCAATTAGTCTTTGAAAAGACAAGTATTTAGTGAAGCTGGAGTTCTTAACAGGACTTTGAAACAAGCTGCAGGTTCTTCCATGTAACTCAGACCTTCCTAGCACAAAGCATCCTCATCACAGGATCTACTTTTATCACTCAGTTGTTTTTAACTCATAGCCTGAGAATAACTCAAGAATCAACATGACACTACAGATTATTAATATCAGAGGCACACAGATTTTTTAAATTGTTCAGCTAAAACTATTTTTGTTTCTTAAAAATCTGCACAAGTTAAGGAATTGTTCGAAACAAAAATATCCATTACCTTGCCTGCTCCATTTGTTAAAGCAGCAACAGAGGATAAAATACAGTCATTTGTAGTTATGAGTTTCTGTGTGGCAGTCGGAACTTCCTGTTCTAAAGCAGCTTTCTGACTATAGTGCTTGGAAATATCTGGAAAATGAAAAGCACATTATGCCAAATTAAGAATAAAAAACTTTTTGAAAGTCACTCACAAAAGCATCTTAGCCTAAATATATTAATTTCAACACCACCAAAATTTAAAAAGAATCAAGTATTAATCATGTAAGAACATTCTCAAGGTGGCCTAATTAAAAAAAAAGTAATTGACAAGTGAACAATATGCACCCATTTTAAAACAGAGTACTATTGCTACAGAATGGAGAAATTCCAGCTCATCACCACCACAAATTGTAAACAGAAATAATCTTTAAAAGTTCAAAATTAGTTGGGATTGAGAAAGTAGAGAGAAATTAAACATTCTGGAGTATGGGAGTGTGAGATATTAAGAAGAGCATTTCTGTTCTGTTGATAGTTAATGAATTCTACTGACAGTTTTCTTCACTGCTTCTATTTTCTGTATTTCCTTTAAAGTATAAATTGCATTGACTTTACATTATAGTGACCAGATTAAGAGGTAGAAAGTATTCTAAACTTATCTACGCTACAAAACTCATGATTTAGGGTCTCATTTTGTGTGAGGTACAATCTTTAATATCTTCTATTTTTCTTTAAAACAAGGACTCTGCAAAATGGGGCCAGACTACTCATGCTATTAGGAAAAAAACCCAATTTTGCTTAAAATTATGAAAGCTTAATGTTTAAATAGCTGAATAGTAAAAAAATCCAGTTCATCTCTATGGATCACTTTTCTCCCCAGAAACAGCTACATAGGACTGAAATTCTAGGACATGCAGGAACATCAGATTCAAAATTCTGAGTTTTAACCAAATACCCCTTCACTGAAAACATAACATATCCATGTTGTTCTGATAAAAGCAAGGTAAACCATTTTCCAGAGGAAGCCAAGTTTCAAAAAGAATTTGGACTTCTTTGTAACGTTTGGTTACACATTCATGTTAAAAATAGTCATCACCCTAAAAATAGGAAGGAAGAATTCCACTTTGCAGGCAGGTACTAGGTCAATATGCAGGGAAAATATGTACATTTCACAGCATTCCATTCTGTGTGCTAGTTTCAGGAGAGCAATGAAGCTCAGAAAGTAAAGTGATGCTGCTCAGGAAAATCTGGAGAGCCACAATTAAATAATCCAGCAACTCTGAGGAACAAAGGTAAGAGAATGGAAGAATGAAAACTATGCATGAATGTCTAAAACAAGTGGTTAGTAGGTTTAGTTTCTTAGCTTGTAAAGGTAAAACAAACCAGATTTATCACATACAATACATTCAGCACTGTTATAGAGACTGCAGGTGTGCTATGCTAAACAAGAAAGCAGCAAAGCTGAAACAAGACAACATTCCCAACTCTCACCTTTTAAAATGTCATGGAATCCATGAAGACTTGCAGCAATGTTTGTAAACACAAAGTTGTAATTTGTCCTAAGGACTCCTTCTGGTCTTGTACCTAAGAGTAACACATAAGAAGGAAAACCACAAAACTAAGATTTGACCACGAATGAAAAAAGTTAGCTTTGAAAATAATTCAGTTTCCACCTACTAGAACCATTTGCATGGAGGATGAGTCACAATAGATTAATTTACTTAAATTTTCCCTTCAATATCAAATATACATATCTCCAATTCTGGCAGAGCAGGCAGGTGAAAGACTTTCAAGTCCCCTAGTTTTTATTCAGATTTCATAAATATCAGTTGTGTTGGTCTCAAAAACCACACATACAGAAAGACATGATCACAGCTGTAGGAAAAACAATCTGGGCCTTTAGAAAAAGACTGAAATAACCTCAAGCTATGAAATAACGATTTTTTACTGCTATTTACAGGATGCATTTGGAGATAGTTTCCCCAAACATACACACAAAGGCTTTACCTCATTTTATTAATTTTATTATTTATTAGCATGACAGTTGTAATAACCTTATGAAAACGAGGGGCTGGAAACGATGATTAGTAAGAAAATGCAGTTTATTAACCATTTCATAATTAGGAGGTGACAAATACAGACTGTCAATCATCCCATAAAAACCCACAGAAAAGCAGGCACAGGGTAGCCAGCCAAGCCAGAACTGACACTTACTTGGTAAGGCCAGAAGACTGACATATGTGTGGAGCTTCTCAAAGACTGCAGTCAACCTTTTCATGTCTCTGTGCAGCTCCATATTTCTAGCTCTTAAAGCAGCTGTGCAAAGAGAAGACTCACACTCTTCTTCCAAACTAGGAATATATGAATTATTTTTTTTAAAAGCAAGCAATTGTCTTAAAAATAACAAGCTCACGAGTTTTAGAGCACATAGGTGTTCTCTACCTCCCCAGTGCAAAGCAACAGCAGGCCAGGAATTGATTTTAGAAAGGCTAACACAGCAGAGGAACTTAGCAATACATGAAAATTACTGTGTGCATGGCCACTCCCAGGTGTTTCTGTCACAAGCCAGGAATGATTTACTCTCACAGCAAGGAACTGATTGCAGCAATTTAAGTTTGAAGACTTTTCCCTCTACTACATAAATTCTCTTTTGCTTCCTAAGGAGCACGAGAACAGGTATAAAGGAGACATAAATCAAGAGGGTTTTTCTTCCTTAGTCCAAACCTCTCTTAAAGCAGCTCTTTGCACTTATAATTCATCTCCCTTCAATCAACTCAGGCACAAAGATTTTCCAGCAGAAGGGATGTAGACCTAGCCAAGTTTTACAACATTGTTACATTTACTGATTGATGAATAACCCTCAGAAAAGGTCAAGGCATTAACAGTTACAGTGTATCACACCTGAATAGTAGCAATGCTATTGAATAACACTAAGAAACATTAATGAAAGCTTCATTATTTTAAAGTCTCATGTGTGAGGGAGGGTGTGCGTGGAGGAGCTTTAAAATACATGGATTTAGTCCTAATGCCTCAAAAAAGCTGTGCCTAGTCTCAAGGTTTAGAAAACAACATGCAAAAAAAAAAACCCAAAAAAAAAAAAGAGTTCAGCCTTTTAAGACAGCAGAGGCCAGAATATTTTAAGGTTTGATTTAATATTTGAGTTGTAGGTGCTGACAGTGCTGCATGCCTGGCACAGTGCCTTTAAATTGGATCTATCAAATGAAAGGTACCTTTTTAACTGATAAGGAAGAATCTTTCTTAAAAAGCCTAAGTAGGAAGCTAATTGTTCTGAGAAGGCCTTCAATTTCACAGTTGTTTCCTGAAAGGAAAAAACAACAGGTAAGTGTTTTGCTCTGTAAAAATCCTTTTTGAGTACTGAAAGGAGGAAATCTTACCAGGACTGTCACAGTATCCTCCGTGATGCTCTCAAACAAGTGCAGCATTCCTTCCTCCAGAGGGCGAACATAGGAAGCGTTTTCATGGAGATACTGTGAGAACTGAGGACACAGAGGTTTTAAAATGGTGCTTGCTGACAGCTCCTGTCAACTCTGCCAAGGTAACACCTGAACGGGACATTTTGGCCAAGCCCTGTCCCCCTCAACGATGCCTAAGATGTCACTAATGAGAGACAACAGTCCAGTGATGTACAGCAACCTCTTCTACAGTCAAAAACACACCTTGAGGGAAAGGGAGAAGCACTGGAAGTGCAGGGAAAACCACACCTAGAGCTTGGCCAGGGCATCCAGTCTCATTTCAACTGCCATGCACAGCACACCAAACCCTTGCTTTTTAGTTTTAAACATTCCTGCATTCCTTCCTCAACTCCATCCAGTTAAGGCTAGATCCATGCACCACTTAGCCACAGAATGAACTATCCCACCTTCCTCCCAAAAGTAGTCTGCCTCCCAGCCTTGTCCAACAGCACAAACATTTGCAAAGCTGTGCTGTGCAAAGTACTGAAGAATTAAACCCAAGTCAAACCAAGAGCAAGAGATGCGTCTCTTTTGTCTTTTCATCTGTGTCCAGCCCAGTTTTCAACAAGAGTCAAAGCATGCTAATGCAAAGCATGGAGCTCCAACTGATCACAGGAGAATTCTTATTTCATGGACCTGCCTGACTTTGCTAAAAATTGCTTAATTAAATCCTACAGTAAATTTAGCCTTTAAAAAAGCAGACCTGAGAACATAAGGTGTACTCTTACACATCAAATGTAACACCACCATCAGCTTTTCATTTTGGTACCTCAGTATCACAAAAAAGCTTCTTCCACAAATTAATACAGGTAGGCAAAAGCAATCCTGGCTTTTATTTTACCCCACAGAAAGATACCTTCACCTTTGATTATTTACACCACAAGAGCAGCTAAAGATCCCAGGTAAACAGAGTCCAAGAGATTTTAATTGTTCCTTGTGTTATTGCAGTGTGGTAACACAGTGTTAACAAGAAGAGTGAGATGCTAAGCTCTGATCCATGCATGCACAAACCTGGGTGGAATTAGGGAAAATTCCTAAATCTAAAGAGGAAGAAATAACACATGCAGAATGCTCCTGGCTTGTGTTGCAAGAGAGAGGACTTGAATTATCCAGCATGATGCTGTAGACCCAGCAGAACCCAGCAATCCAACCCTTAAAGAGAAAAGGAATACTTGAACCTGGCAGGGAATTGTCCACATCTACTTTGAGTGTTTGGTGGGGAAAATAGCTTGAAAGCACCAGACAAGACCTGGAGTTGGGGAAAAATAAATCAGTGCAAGTCTGCTAAGCCACTACCTGACACTTGTTTCATCTTCTCTACCATATTAAGGGGACATTTTTGACCAACTTGGTGGAGTAGCTAAAAATAAAATTTAAAAAAAATCACCCTGAGAACACTTGCCAAGCAAATGGATAAATTAATAAAAAATACAGGAGCAACTACAGCTTCAGTGAGCAATAAAAGATGCTTCAGTACTGGAAAGTCACAGCAAAAGCCCTGAGAAGTAGCATGCATTGAGGGAATTAGGCCATGAATACACAACGGGGCAGAGTACAAGAGACATAATTATGAAAACAAAGCCTGAACTACTGAATCAGACTCAATTATAAGAAAAGGAAAATGAAATTATGGTTCTGATTAAGTTGCCTGTTTCAGCTGTGCTGAAAAACAATAAAGAAGTGTTAACTAGGAGGTCAGGGAAAAAAAATCTGTGAGGAGAGATGTCTAGGAAATCTGATTTTATTGCTTTAGTGTAAACTGCAGTAGTATCTGAGAATGCAGTCACCACACTGGACCACATTAAAAAAAAAAAAAGAGAGACCACTCCTGCCCCAAAAAATCTTAAAGATGACTAAACCCCATCATTTTCACAGGAAGGACATGCCATTCTGAGTGCATTTGGTGGCAGCAGCAAGAAAATGTTCTCAAACTATGCTGAATCTCTGCAGAAGGGTGTTCTTGACTAAAACAGTTGAAACAACTGAGAAGGCAAACATAAAGGGATTCTCTAGTGGATAACCACCTCCATAAACATATTTGTTACCTGAAAAGAGGTTATAGGAGGTTTTCCAAAGAACAAGAAAGTTTTGTCATAGTTAACATTGTCACCACATGCACTGCAGCCACTTGATCAATGCAAACCACAATTCACCTCAGCACCTTAACTCTGAGCCCTGGCAACTACTAAACTGAAATTAAGAGACTGAATCACAAAATACTCCCTGCAGTTTAAATACTCACAGATCCCCTTAAACTATGAAGTCAACTCTGATCTTAATGCAATTTGTTCCAAAGCATACATGTATACATCCCCACACAAATCCTTGTGCATAGTTATTTTCTCTAGTTCACAGCATAGGAAAACAAAGTCAAAACATGCAGCTCAACAGCTCTGGATGACACTCTCAGAAAACCTTTCCATAGAATTGTGTCAAAAGAGATGAGTCAGATTTCTCATACTAATTTCAACATGGTTTACAAACTTGAAGCTTCAGAACACTTACAGGAAACATCTTCACACAAGCAGCCCAAAATCAGATTATAAAGTTGTTTTTTGACAAGGGAACAGAGTCCAGGTTCTCTACCTCATATAAGTCTACCTTTTATCCTTTATTTAATATTTCAGCTAAACACTTTAAACACAAGACCAGATTCTGTCTCCTATGCCCCAGTGCATTAACTAAAACAAGCTCTATTCAGCAGTGCAACATTTGTGAATTATTATTTTAAAACAAGTCAGCTGAACTTTCAACAGATGCACTTCAATTCAGCAATTAAAAAAGCAAAGCTTTGATTTGATTATCACATTTCTCTTCTAGCAGAGGCACAGGGGAAAAGGATTCTCTGCAGCTACACCTCATCCACATTCAGAGAATTCATGGAGCAGAAAAGATGTCTCATGCAGGAGGGGCTGGCTCTCAGGAACACACTCACAGCATTCCAGTAAAGGTGGTGCAATTTTCCCTGACTAAGATCAATCACTCACTGAAGTCCAACTAATTGAATACATTTGTAGCTGAAGTGTGCAAACTTTACCTTCTGATTCAAGGGTGATATTGTGTCTGTTGCAGAATCAATGGGGAAGATCTGTACCTTCTGCTCAGTGTATGTGTGGAAGTTCAGGAGAGCTGTTACAAGTTCTTGGACAAAAGCCAGGGCCTGGCCAGCAAGGTCTCGCAGCTTCAGCTGGAAAGAAAGTTATAAAATGATTGTGTTTGAATGGAACTATTTACATATGAGAAAAAAACCTGTCTGGATACAAAAAATCATTATCAGCAATTTCTTTCTTGTTGTTATTTCAGCCTAAAATACACAACAGCAATTATTTTAAACTTATTTTTTATTCACAAACTACAGAAGGGCATATTGTTCTCTGACAACAAAGTATCTCTTTATTTCACACAACTGGTGATGGTTTGCCTCTGCTGCATTTTTCAAACTTGCAAGCCACAAAAACACTGAGAGGTCAGCACAATTACAGAAACCATGCCTGAAATTTCCAAAGAACAACAATTGCTGACAACAGCTCAACACCAGGTTGCAAGGAAACCTCAATTTAATTAGTAAAAAACAATGATGTTTTCTCCCAGAATTAAAGGTGTCTGCTTCTCTAACCAAGAGCACTCAATTCTTATTCTCCTGGAGAGAGCTGAGCTGCTGCTCATGAGTAAGGCTGTTCTGTGGCTTCAGTACAGCAGGAAGGTATCAAAGAAATTAATCCAGAAAGGAACATAAATTCAAGAGAGAAGAAAACTACTCCCTGTTGGGATTTATGGGAAGAGAATAATGTTATAGTGACATTTCAACCAAGAATAACTTATCCTTTAGAGACTCTTAATGCTTCAATGGACTGTTAAATCAGGTCAGTCTTGATTATGGATCTGGGATGGTGGCAAGTAATTAAAGCAGTCATTATACCCAGCTTGTATATGTTAATTAGTCATGTAAGGAAGGGAAACACACACATTGCTGTTTTGCTGTCCTTTACACCACAGCCTGTGCTAATACACCAACATTTTGCCTCCACTGGCAAAGCCAGTCATAAAAATCTGTCCTGGAGTATTTTCAAGATTGCAGATCTTGAAGCATGAGACTGCCTGACATAGTGCTGGCAGAAAATAGCAAAAGGAGAGTTTCCATGCAGTTATTCAGATTTTTCTTGGAACTCAGCAGCAGCAACCTGAAATTTAAGGTTATTTCCATCACAAAGCTGAACAGCAAGTCACCTGTTCTCACAGCAGACATTATTGGGAAAAAGGTCTCTTTACAGGCACTTCTGAAGAATGGAGAAAGCAGTTATTTTAAATCTTCCTGCAGTAGCATCTGAATGCACTAACTTGAAGACTTGAGACACAAGGAAAGAGAAAAACCCCACAGTGCTGAAGAGTCCATCCCCAATGGTAGCAACACAGGAAAATTTTGACTGCATACAGGTTTCTGATTTGCTATTGTAAAAACCCTTAAAATATTCAGCCATTCACAGAATGCTCATTTTTGAATATTGAATAAACAACATTCACAAGGAATCTCATTAAATTACAGCAGTGAACAGAAACTGTTTTCTAAAAACGTTTCAATATATAAGAGTTATTCTGCTGCAAGCAAGAGGTGCTTTGGCAAGAAGTATCCCACAAAATGTAAATGAACCATGCAGAGATCTCCAAGTGACATGATTTATTCCTTGAAAGGGTTGTGATTGGTGACAAGCAAAGTTACCTAATACAGCATTTTAGTGCACACACCACTGCACAGTTTACAACTGCACACATTCTCTAAAGCTCAAGTGATGTGACTGAAAAAGCTCAGTTTAAGGGAAAAGGAATTTAGGATATCAAACCTACCTTTTTCCAACAAAAGACCTCTGAACTACTGTAGTTTTAATCAACTTTAAAAATGAAATGTTCCACCTTCTAGCTCACTGAAGGTTGACACAATAAAAGAATATTTCATATAACTTTAATAAGACTCCTTGATCTAACAACAATATACACAAGCTCTTGAAAAGTGCAGAGGCTCTGTGGGCAGAAATGCTCTCAGAATATCATGACAGTAGTAAGACAGGCTATCTTCTGCTATTTGAGGTACTAAAATGACTGGTTGTATTTCAGCATCTGTGTACAAAGCTGTGCAGAGCCACAGGAAAGCACAAGAAGCTCTTACCTGATTCCTTCTGTTGTGCAATGGTACATTCAGAGCATTGTATCGAGCAGATCCTACAGGACAAAAATTGAGTTATATGCACTTGTTAAATTGTGGGGGAGAGACATTTTTTGGTAAATACTGATTTAAAAAAGAAAATGCATTGCAGGGATATTACAGGTTATGTAAGCAATATTAACTAAAGAGATGCAAACAATTGACTCAAACAAAGTAGGCCTAAATATCCTCACTTAAGGGTTTCTGTGATTAAGTGGAAGGGAAATTAGTTCAATACTTGCCTCAGACTGTAAGCCAAATTTAATCATCTGAAGACCCTGAATTTGAAAAATAAGAGCAGACTCCTTTTGCCCAAAGAAAAATATTCATCACAAACAAGAGTGAAAAAATCTTGTAAAAGAAAACACACTTAAAGAATTCAAGATTATCTTCAAATTTCAATTACATGCCAAGGAGGGGCCAAGTAAGACTAATATATTTTTGAATGGTTTCCATGTTTTTTAAAGCTCTTGTACACATTTAATACGGTGATAATTTAGACTAAGATGTACTCTCCACGTATTTCAGCATTCTTCTCTAGTCATGAAGTAACCAGAATGATTATTCAGTTACAAGCAGCCACAATTGGAGGGGCAGAGGGCTATTTGTACATAGAGAACAGCTTACAAAGCCTTAGAGATTTAAAAGGGGTCACATCCATTCTCAATTCAGTTGAACAACAACCAGCTTAGTTTAAAATTTGCTCACAAAGGAAATTTACAGTTTCTTACTCCTTTTTTGTCATTCACATTTGGCTATTAAGACATGGGAAGAGGTAGTTACAATTTAGAGGAAAATAACCCTGTTCAAAATTATTGAATCCTACTTCTAACTAAATGCTTCAAGAAACTTTTTCTCTCTGTAAATCATTCTTAGCAGTCATTTGATTGTTACTGAAATTAGCTGCTAGTTACACTTGAAGCCAACTACAGGGTCTCTAGAAACAGTTGGAATCCACAGCAAACAAACACTTCCTGACTTCCACTGATCCTATCACTAAAGAAAAGTTCTCTATTTGCAGTGTTTTCTACTACACAAGCAAGGCATTATGCTATGGCAGCTGAGTGAGCAGAAAAATTACTTTAGCAAAGTTCTTGCTACAATGATAAGCACCTAAAAACAATGCAAGCTAAAGAAGCCAGAGAAGTAGAAATAGGCAGCAGATGCCAGGCAAAGAGAGAGAAGTGAAAAGGATCCCAGCTCCAGGCACCAACACCTCAGTGTGATGTGCTGTATGGGAGTCAACATTTCCTGCAGAGATGATGATCTGGTGTTCCTAAGCCAAGACTCACTAGATTGCCAAACCAGTGGAGAGCTTGGCACACTCACCCCTGCAACACCTGCCAGATCAGCTTTTAGAGAACCTAAGGCTACTTAAAACACTGTCAGCAGGTTTTAAACTGAATGAAAAATGCAAAAAGCCACCAATGAAATGCACAAAAAATTCAAAAGCCTGTTTTCACTTCTCTGCTCCTTCTTCACTACTTTCAGCTTTTTCACTATTCCAGGTCCCCTTGTCTTGAAGGGTCCAGAAGAGTGCAGGCAGTGCCTGCCCAGCCTTGTGTTCAGCTGTTTAGGAAAGCACACAGTGCACAGCAGCACATACTAACCCATGCTTGTACCAAAGCCATGCAAAGGCTGAGCACTCCTAACTCCAGGGGATCCTCTGCACTTCAGCTGATCTAGCAGCAGTTGGAAAGGAAGCAGAAAAGCATTGCTTCAGGTAAAAGTCCCCAGGTCCAAAGGGCTTTTTTCCCCATGAAGGGACAAACAAGTCTAAGCAGCCTTCAGGTAAGAACTACTCTGTGTGTTTTCTGATCAGTGAGACAGAAATTCCCCACTAGGAATAAGTGCATCAATAATAGTGCAATATCTCTGCAGCCACCAGATTACCCCACCTTAACTTACTGCACCTCTTGAATATACCCTGCCAAAAATAATACTCTTTGAGATGAGTATCCAATCTTTATGGAGCAGCCATTAAATTGACAGTGTTCCTTCATCATTTACAATATTCTGTCAACACTAAATAAGACAAGTGGCAAATCACTCAAAAGCCTTCAAAAGTTTCAATTTTCATTATACATATAAAAACTTGGTATTTTAGAATTACTGAAGAAGACCATGACAAGTATCAGGAATACTTACTACAGTTACCTCCAAGTGTCTGTTCAGATGTCCAACATTTCTTACAGCTAATACATTTTAATTCATAAGGAGTTCTCCCTCCAGATGGATACCCCAAAAAAAAAAAATCAAACAAGATACCCAGACCAAGGCAATACGTACTTGTGTCATTAAAAGGTACTTTTTCATTAATTATGCATAGAGATTCTTCCAGTCTACTGCCCAAAGCTGCTTGAAGATTCTTTAGCTGTTGCTGGCTAAATAACAAAGAGACAAACGAAAAACCACACACACACACACACATTGTAAACCTTTAAAATTTCATCTGTATCACCAACACCATATCTCACTATAGGCATCCCTTGAGTGTACAGGTATCTGTCTCCTTCTAGAAGCTAGATAAAATAAATACAGTGGGAGTCATTTGTCCTCCTTTATCTCATATTTAACCCAACATTGAATCCTGATCCCTAACAAAAGCATTGAAAGTTACCATAAACTTGTAAATCCTAAATTCCATTCCTGAGAAGCTCCATTTACTTCAGAGTTAAAATTCACCTTATCTTCCTATAGTGCAACTATTATATAAGCTATATGAAGGCATTCTTTTCTAGTACAATTTGGATGGGAAGATAAAAGGGCCTCCAAATGAGTTATTATGCATCCAATGCAGTATTCCAATAAGCAGGCAATGAGTTGTCAATAATTCAATTAACTATGTCACATCACTATTTGAGATACCACAAAGGCTTTTCAAAACCCATATTTTTAAACACTGCTATGATACTGCCTGTTCTGACAAGACTTGACAATTATGTTCCTGATGCATTCCCAAGCGATTTTTCTCTAAATTTTCTTCATTTGCATTTGACTGTGCATGTACATGTGAACCTAAGTAATTAAGATTACTAATATAATGAGAATAGATTGCTGAGATGAACAGTAACATATTCCAGCATATACATATATCTTCAAAGAACACTCCATTATTGATTCAGACCAAATTCCACACCTTACCCAACTTAAGCCCCCAAATTCTTCACTGTTTTGCTTCCTGTTTGACATCTAGAACTCCTGCACATATAGTGGAGGCTGGGGGGAAGGTGTCAAAGTGACAGGGGTTTTTTCCTTTCTTAACAACTCTAACAAAGCAAAATAATCCAAACTAGACAAGGGAGATATGAAGAAACTGGCCAATAGGTAGCTCATGCACATTTACAAAGGTTTTTCTTGGAGAGCAGCTCCATGATTGCATGGAAACTGTACAGCAGGTACTGCAGCAGCACTGAGCATGATAGAAAATTAATTCCAAGACAAACTGCAAATGTACTGATAGTTCCTATTCAGACTTACAGGAATGACAAACAAGTAGTTTGACATGTTTTGCCTTACATTCTGCCCTTTAATTTTCAAGGCATGCAGGCTGTCAAGTTCCATATCCTCTGGCTTTTCTGAGTAAAGTGTGGGTGTCAGAGGCAAATGGATCCCTTCCCTTGACAAAGCAGGGAAAACAGAAGGGCAGTATTCTCAGGGACACATCCTGCCATGTGCTCAACAGACAGTGATTTCAGTGTTTAACATGAAGTGTCAGGCTTTATTACTTTTAAAAACTTAATACAGTATCACTTAAAATAGTAGGGGATAACTTTTTACAATAACATCAATTACCCAGTCACCATGGAACATGATAGACAAAGCCTGAACTGACTAGTAACAGATTAAAACTACAGCTTTTCAAACACCACAAAAAAAGCAAAGAACAGCCAAACACAGCTTTCCTCCTCTTTTGCAAGTCATTTTTAGTGAAACCCTTACTTGTATTAGTGGAGTTATTGGATACAAGTATCTTCACATCTATCAACATCATTAAAATGCCCACTTGAGGGTTACCATGTCAAAGAAGGAACTCTGCATCTGATCATTCACTACACATCTTATTCATTGCATTAAAGATCTATACTGCACATGTATCTTCTAAAAAAATGCAGTTTAATGAACTTCAGAGAAATTTGGCCTAATTGAGGCCCAGTTGAGGACTGTGGCCCTAATTTCATTTGGGCCACAATCCTCAACTTCCACAACTTGTCTTCAAGACAATGAAAATATTCCAAAACTAACAATATAATTCCCTGATAAAAACTTTCAAATATTCTAGCTGAGAACATTATAGCTGAAGAAAAAAAAATGGTTCAAGAAGCTTTTGCAATGGAAGGGAATTTCTAAAACTCTTTTCCATCAGTTCTCTCAGGATATGTTACTCAAACTGTTCTTAGAAGCAGTTTTTACAAACTCACATATCTTTGTTTCATACAAAATTTCACTTCCTATGGTTTTGCATTATAAATAAATTCTTCCAACTTTCATCAACATTGCTGGTACTGAAAAAGCTTGGAGACAAAACTGCTCTTACTGAAAGCAGAAATTGTCTAGTGGAATTGTCTGGTTCCATACATAGCAAAGGAAAAGGGGGCTTGACCTGCACTAATCACATTTGTCCTCATGATAATACAAATTGAGTTTTATCAAAGTCTTTCAATTAAACCCCTTTTTAAAATGATATTCTTAAAAAACAATCCAGTCAATGTTTCACAGCAATTATTTCTTTACATTAATGAAATAAAGCCACTTACCATTCTTCAGTTCGAAGCCTACAGTCCTTAGCTTCTCTTTCTAGTGTCTGAGACTTGATCTTTATGCAAGAAGATAATCTCACAATGTAAGTGCTGACAAAGCAAGACATTGCATTTCAAAACTTTTCAAACTTGCAAGCAAGAGGAAAAACTCCTTACTTCTAGTTTGGCTTTATCATTCTGCAGCTTTTCTATGGTCTCTGTGTATTTCTTTGTTAAGCTGTCCACCACAGCTTGGTGCTGGGCAGCATCTGTTTCCAAAACCTCCAGTCTGCTCCTCAGCTCTGCTTCTAAACGTTTGTGCTGCTCATCTGCTTCAAAGAACTACAGGAAGGAAAGAAAAGCTCTTTTAAAAAGCTTCATTTTACTACTGAATCCAGTCCTTTAAGTTACTCCAGTCCTTTAAGTTACTCCAATTTCATTAGGCAGATCAGGTTAACAGCAATTACCAGTTCTCAGAAAAATAGAAATTTTATTTTATTTACAGAGAAAAGATTCAGGAAAGTTTTGTAGCACTAATAATTTTTAAACATATTGCTGACTAATAGCAGGCACACAAAAAACTGAACTTGAGCCAAAAGGTTTTTCTCAAGTTTTCTAAAGTGAAATGCATTCCACTCTGGTGAAGTAGCTCCTAATTAAGGCGACCTGCAGAAAATATTTTAAACTTTAAAGCAATTCTGAAACAGTTAATGAACTAGTAAGAAATTTCCTATCAGTACCAGGCTATTTTCAGTAGGGTAGCTGTCACCAAAAGTTAAAAATCTGAATGAGAAAACATGTATTCTGTGATTCCACACACTGTCTTAGGAATCCAAAGTCAAAATACTTGATTTTCCTAGTGAACATCTTTATAAACAATCTAATCTAATCTACTGCTTTGCATACAACTAAGCTTCTAAACCCACCAGTTTTCAGACAGCACTTTACTTTCCGTATCTTTGGTTGTAACACCAGTTCTCTGAACCAACAATAAAGACAAAACACAATTTCACTCACAAGTATATGCAGTCGTTCATTTTCTTCTATTTTCTTCTGAAGATCTTCATTGAAGACACTTTTCTGTTCTTGACTCAGCTGAGATGAGGATTCTACACTTTTCTAAAAGAGTCAAAATGCACTCATTATGTCCAAGTCCCAGGTTTGTGAGAACAGCTCCCACAGGTTATTCCCAGAGGGGCACACCAGCAGATGTCCTGCTGACACTGACTGACACATCAAAAGTGGGAATATGGCACTCAGCAGCAGCCTCAAGGCAGCACACTTTCCTTTCCTTCACCCCCCTGTGACCCTGCCTGGAGAAAGCCTCCACTCAGGGGTCCCACCCACACTCCCAGGGAATCAATCAATCCATCACTTGGATGGGCAGCAGCCCACCTGAATTCACTGGAATCCTGCATGATCCCATGCAGTCAGCAATCCCAAACTATCCATACCCAGGCTCAGCTGCTTTGCTAGCTGTGTGTAAGGCACACCTGTGCCCAGGTGTAAGGCAGGTTGCTCTCAGCAGGCTGCAGCACAAGGTGCTATGGAAGCACAGGGTCTTCCATCAGCCACACACATCCCCCTGCCTGTTTCCTCATTTTCCACTCATTTAATCCAAAAGACTCAGATCACTGAATCCCACACACCACACTGCTGAAGAAAGGTATTATCTCCAAACACAGGGGAGATTCTATGCATTTAAACTCAACACCAAACCTCAAGAACTAAGGATATGTAGGGCAGATAAGTCACCTCTGTGTTTGATGCCAGCCTGTGAACTCCACCTGAGATATGGGCACATGTTCTGCTCCTTCTAAACACAGACCAGGGAACTAAAGCTGTGCATTTTAACAGGAAAGAAACTCAGTGGCAATTGTTTGCAAAGCTCCTAAAGACAGGCTGATGTCCTTGAAAATTTGGAAACACAGCTAGCAAAACAGTAACTAACACAGTTTGAAATAAAAGAACAAAAGGGTCAAGCTGCATTTGAAAGAACAATCTATTGTGGTGCAAGAATAATGTAGAGAGAAGCACTGTGCTTGTCAAGGAATTGGAAAACAGAAAAATGGGCAAGAGTTTAGGGGAAAAGTAAGAAAGATGATCTTATTACTAATCAATTGAATCATCTATCTAAAGCCAGTCTTGATAACTACAGCACATTGAGAAAAGACAGCACCAAAAAGAAAAGACAGCAGTAATTAAGAGGGGTTTCTTCATGAGGAAAGTAGCAAGAAATGCTTGAGAATTACTCAAGTCCAGGCACACCACCCCTGGAATTGTGATGTTACCCACAGAAGGCACAGCTGGTCTTAGAATATGACATCACAAGGTTTAAACAGCAAGCATTCTAGCAGAAAAGATCAGCGTTGAAATCATTCTGTCATTTTGAAATAACATAAAGAATACAAGCTAAAAATTTAGATTTCAAATCATTTGACAAGATTCACATAGAAAAGCTATGATCACAGGCTGAAGAGTTAACTACCAACATCGAAATTACAAAGCAAAGAGGTGGGGATGGGAAATGAGGAGTGATCAGCTTTCTGCAGAGCAGCTGACTAATCACAGAGCTCCAAAGTATTTCCCACTTTTTTGAACACTTAATAAATATCCATAAAAGAAGACAGCAATTCAGCATCAGTCAGCTGACAGACTAGAAAAGTAGAGAACTACACAGCATGCATTATATATGTATATATATATATATATATATCAATATGTGTTTTATGGGTGTTTTCACTCACATCAGGTAAAATAACACAAGTTCTGACAAGAACATTCAGCTCAACCCTTGACACAAAATACCTGCTGCTAAAACTCAGGATAAGGCTTTGACAGGTGAGGAGCAGACATCTGCTAAGCAAGTTTTCTTTGCCTTCAGCACATACCTTGTTCTTTTTGCCTCGAGCTTCACTTAATGCAAGTTCATCCTGAAGTAGCTCCACCCGCTTGGCAAGTTGCTGATTTCGAAAGGTCAAGCTGTCCATTTCTTGTTGCAGTTTTCTCAGGGACTGATCCTTCATCTTCAGTTGTTCCTGAATGACAAAAAAAAAATTAATTTTAAAATCTTCACATTTATTTTTACACATTAAAAACAAGTACAAGTTAGAAAATTGCTACACTTTTGAAACACTGAAGAGACAAAGTATCATTTCTGAACTAAAATAATGTATTTCACTTCCTTGAGCTGGTCACAGATCATACCCAAGTAGCTATTTAATTCTATAATTATCAAGAATCAAACTTCCCCTTTTACAAACTCAGCACTTACAGAGAACAACAGGCTAGCAGCAAAACAGAAATTCTTTTACTAAAATCAAGTTCCCTCCTCATTCTTTTATTGACATTACTTTTTTGTAAAAAAGTACCCCATACACTTATTTTGTCACAGCTTAGTCCACCTGACATGAGCAGTTTTTAGAGATTACCTTCAGTGAGGCAGAGTTTGCTTGCTCATCTACAACTCCTTTTTTCAGGACTTGGTTCTGAGCACGAAGCTGAAAAACAAGAGATGCCAGTAACCATGCAAGGCAGCAGAATGAACAAAACCCATCCATGAGAAAGTGCAGAAAGCATCACATTCTCTCAGGAGTGCCAGGTGAGAATGCCTTTTCAAGTGTTCTCTTCAGACAGACAGCAGTGGTATCAGGTTGAAAAGGCATCCAATTCACATCCTGACTTGCCAAAGAACAAGAAGTAACTTTACCACCTGGACATTTTGGTCAAATACAACAGAATTCTTAATAAATATCCTTGGAGACCAGTTACTTAAATATAATTAAGATCTGAAGAACTAGGAACAAATATGGAAAAGTTGCAACCTCTTTCTTGACTAATGAAGTTCCTGGTCATATTCAGGGCTATTTCTGTCTCTCCCCTCTTCTTCCCAAAACTGTTTATAACCAGTTCTGGAACTCAAGCAGGACTCAAAGTCAAAATCTGTATTAATTCAAGAGGAGTTTAATGCACAATTACTTATTACCAGTGGCAGCAGATGATCCAGAGAGAACAGAGTAACATAGAAAGCATACAAGGAAAAGCCCTCTAAGCCTTACTTACACAGTACCCAAAATCTGAGCTAAAATCACTGCAGTGAAAAGTGATACTCAAGAAATCTATTTCCCACAGAGTCACTCCACAGAGTACCTCCACCCTGCAGCAATGAGGATACTGACAGTTCCATTGTCCCATTCCTTGAAAATTGCTTGGATCCTGGTTTCTTCAAAGGCAGTTTGCTTTCATTTGACATGTGTGAGTCCAGCTGTTGCAGATATAAATTAAAAGGGTTTGTGCAGGTATCTGGCAGGTGCATAAAAGGCAAGACTCAGTGTAAAACAGCAGTGGCTCATTGTTTCTGTGTGATGACTGAGTGTATTTGAAAGGTCAGAAGTCACTGCTAAGCACAGCTGTTTCCCCTGCCGTGCTCCCACTGTGCTGCTCAGGCATCACGAAGACAAGACAAGAAAGCTCCCAGTGCACACAGAAAAACTTCCAAGCACAGGGTTTCCCTAGCAAGAAGGAGCAGTGCAGTTTTCCACAGCTGTCTCTGTGCCACAGCTACTACTGCAGGGACATGTGAGGAGCAGAGAATGAAGCAGCTCAGTCCTGCAGCACACACAGACCCAGCTGAAGTGGGACCCACACAGGCTGCCATAAAACTGCCACAAAGTTGCTTCAGGAGAGAGCAAGCAGCTGCAACTTGTGTGTTTTCAGAGTCTCCTCTTCTCCTCATCCTTCTTCTGGACTGGTCTGTGAACCAAGAGGAAAAGCAATCCTTTGGCAGGGACTTCCCCCAGCACTGCTTGAGTCCGTCAGACTCTTGTCCACCTCCTTCCATGGCTTTCAGAGCACCTTTAGGTGAGCAGGCTACTCCAGGGCTACTCTCCATTTCCACCTGCACACAACAAGCAGCCAACAACAAAGAGAAGAGGGCTCTGCACAGGGGAGTCCCACAATGAGCTGCACTGCACGAGAAATGGGATGAGATGAAAAAAAATAGTTCCAGAAAAGGAGCAATGGCACAGGCTGAGAAGTGCATGGTGAAGCTCAAAGAAAGCTCCTGGGCACCATGATGCTAAAAGAAAGGATCCAGCAGCAGGAACTTTGGGAAGCTATAGTCAGAAGTCCACATTTCCAATGCTCATTCAGGAATCAAGCACCAAAATCCCTCCATTATCTCATCCTCAGCCACTACTGATCTCCAAGGAATAACAGAGCCTCTGTATAAAACAAGGCATGTGAATTCTGTGACCTACAAAGTTGCAAAACAAATTAAGTGTTCTTAAAGCTATTTTGTGGCATCAGTAAAAGGGCTATCTGTAAACTATTTAGATGCTACACATGGTGTTTTTGCAACGGTTCCAGGGAGAAGAGTATTTAAAGACATGGTTCTGTAAGCTGGGAGAAGTGGAGAAGTGTCAAACACAGACAAGTGCCTTGTGCCATTTTGCTGATGTGGGGCTGCACAAAAAGTGCTGCTTTTCTTCCCCAAGGCTGCTGGAGGACGCTGCCACTCAAGACCAAGAGTCTCCTCTTCCTTTGAGTGAAGAAGAAAGAATGAAGGGATCTGTGCTAAGCAAGGCTCCACTATTTCACAAGTCACCTCAGGCACCATGGAAAGGAAAGGCATTCTCCACTACGGGTTACACATCTCTGCAAACCCCGTGCCAAGCAGCACCACAGAGGGGATGCAAAGTCAGCTAGGGCAGAAGAAGGGGGACAGACAGGAGGCAAAGGTGGAAGCAAATGTCCTGCTCGCTTCCAAGCGCCACTGACACCGCCCGAGCTCCCGCACCCGGGAGCTCGCACGGGGGGAGCACGGCCGGCACCGGGCAAATGTTCACCGGGCAAAACCAGGGCCCGAGCCCGCCTGGAAGCGGGGAGCAAGGGAAACACGGCCAGTGTCAGTCCCCCGGCACAGCCGAGCCCGGTGTGGGCACGGCAGCACGTCCTGCACACGGGGCCGTTCAGCCGCGCTCCCCCGGCACCCGCGAACTCGCACCTCCCGCCTCACGCCCGGCACCCCGCGCTCCCGCGGAAAGCAGCGCTGCAGCCCCGAGCGGAGCCGGCACCGCAGGCCCCACTGGTGCCCGGTACCTTGGAGTACTCCTGGGCCAGCTTCTGGTACTTCCCCTGCAGCTCCGCCGCCGCCGCCATCTCCGCCCCGCCGGCTCGGCTCAGTTCGGCCGGACTCGGGCGCTGCCGGCGGCCCCGCACGCCCGCGAATGGCAAGACGCACTTCCGGGTTCAGGGCGGCGGGAACGCGGTGACGTAACCGCGCCGTGCGCGAGGCGGCGGGGCGGAGCTTTAAGCTGCCGGCGCCGCCATCTTGACGCAACTTCCAAGATGGCGGCGAGAGGGGGGCGTGGCTGCAGGGGTGGAGCGGGTATGGTCACGTGACACTGACGAGGCGCTCGCAACGTTGCCTCGGCAACGGGCTACGGGGCGCCGCCCCGCCCAAAAAGCTTCGCCCGCGAACGGGGCTGGGGGTCATGTCGCGATAATCGCGATGCTCCGGTGTCCCGGCGCCATCCCTGCCTGGCACCGTGCCGGTCCCGCGGCTCCCCGGCCGGGCAGCGCTATCGGCAGGGGGAGCCCCGGGACTCGCACAGACGCTGAGGGAGCCGCGGGTATTCGCGGGCCCATGACGGATCAGTGAGACAAAAGGCGGGTCCGACACTTCCCTCAGCGCCCAGTGCGGGTCAATGCCCGCGCCCGGCTCTCCCCACAGCCTCCAGCCCTCACCGAAGGATGTGGAAAACGCCAGCCACTTGTTTTTAAAATTTTAAAAGTTTAATGATAATAAAATGGTGATAAAAATAACGATATAATTAGAGTAATAATAACTTGGGCAATTTGGATTAGGACAATATGAGACAACAGAAACAAAGAGTTGCGGACGTCCGGGTACCTTTTTCTGGGCAGCACAAGCCCGAAAAAGGACACACGTTAACAGAGGATTAACCCTTAAAAACAACAGCCTGTTGCATATTCATACACTTCATACATGATGCATAAATTCCATTCAAACACAGGATTCTGTCTGGTCAGTGTCAGCTTCTTCCTCTGAATCCTAACGGCATCTTCAGGGCTGAGTGAGGCAGGAAGAAGTTCATCTCTTCTGATAAGAGAACAATAAATTCTTTTTTTCTGAAAGATTTAGGTGTCCTGTGGCTGCTATTTCTTTTTCTTTAAAAAGTATCTTACATAGCATAGTTACTATTTTAACATTATGTTATAACTTAAAACTATATTTAACATGCTACTAAAAAAAATACAGCATAACTTTCTAACATAACACATATCATATTCGTTTTAATATTTGCGAAAAGCCAATCATAAAATATGCATTTTTCGCAAGGAGATGCTGAGCGTATCCATTATATGCCAGTGAAGGAGAGCACGGGTAGATCCCCAGCCATGCAGAAACCCGAATTCCACAGTCTGGGGTATCACTGAGAGGGGATCTCATCAATGCATGTAAATATCCCAGGGTGCCCAGGGGATGGTGCCAGGCTCTGTTCAGTGGTGCCCAGAGGATGAGGAGCAATGTCTGTAAACTGAAACACAAGAAGTTCCTCCTCAGTGTGGGGAGGAATTTCTTTACACTGAGGGTGGCAGAGCCCTGGCACAGCTGCCCAGGGGGGCTGTGGAGTCTCCCTCCCTGCAGACATTCAGAGCCCACCTGGACACGCTCCTGTGTCACCTGCTCCAGGTGACCCTGCCCTGCCAGAGGGGTTGGAATGGATGATTTCCTCAGATCCCTTCCAACCCTAACAAATATGATTTTGTGATTCTGGCTTTCTACACCCAGTGTTGTCCTGGAGGGGCCCTTCTCTGCTCCCTTCTCTCCAGCATGTAGGTCTCTGTTTCAGAGCCACCTTTGAGCTTCTCCAGCATTCAGCCATCCTTTTGAGACTGCTGAGCTCTGCTACTTACCTCACATTTGCTTCTTTATCCTCAGACTGGCCAAACATTTAAACGTGTATACACCATCAACACACTTCAAGCAGAAAATGAAAACATCATAAAAGGTGTATTTGGTGCTGCCAGTCAATGCAGAATTTTGTTTCTGAACAGATATTTAAGGAAAAGAGTAATAAGGCAAAATGTGATGAGACTTCACCAGTATATGCTGAGCATCTGGTGATTTGCAGGTTAAGGGCTTCCTGGTCTAGGACAGAGATGTAGCAGCAAATTATTATTTTTGTTCCGTTTCCATGGTATCATTTTTTTCCACTTGATTTCAGCACGGTGTCTTCATAGCTGTTCCTCAGTAGTGGGTAGTGCTCGAGGTGATAAATCATCGTTTTGTTACCTCCTTTTGTCTTTGTTCCCCTTAAGTAGGAGTGGATAGAAGGTGCCCATAATGGAAGCTGATTTTTTACTTAGTCTTGAGGCTTTGATGGTGTGTGCTGTTCTTTTGCTTATCACAGTAGTGAAGTTGGCAAGCCCTAAATATGACATAGGGGCCAGATTAGTAAACATGTTTGTGTCTCCACAGGAAGCCTTAGTTTTGGAGGACATGTTGCTGATCCCTATTGCCAGCAACAGCACTGTGCATTTTTCGGAAGTGTAAAAGGGGAGATAGGCAAAACACACACTGTCATCATTCATCCAAATGATCTTGCTGCTGTTCTGCTTGACTAGAAGAGCTTAAACAGCAATCCTGGAATAAGAAATAAGGAAGCTCTAGTTTTTAACTATTAGAGCAGATACACTTCTCTTTCCACTCCATTTTGCATCCCCTACAGAAGTTTTCTAGCAAAGCCAATGGGGTTTGCAACTGCTGCAAACAGATCAGGGTTAAGAGCAGCACGCCTTCCATGGGATATCCTTATATGTCACTGCAGTAAATTTTGTATAGGAAAATTATTTAAAGCCTTTACATTTGACTCCAACCTGTACTTTTAAGTTTGCATTTTCTAGGATGTGTCTTTCATTGAAATGTTGCACTGAAATACTTTGAACACACTCTGCAAGCACTCCCGAGGTTGTGCTGCCTCCAGAGATGCTTTTGTGATGCAGTTCTCCCCTCAGCTCTGGTGCAGCGAATGCTGGCAGAGAGGTTTCACAGCTGAAAGCTGGGAGAGGAGCTCAGGGAATTACAGTGCCTGGTTGTGGCAGAATGAATTGCTTCCCCACTGACAGCAGCAGTGCTCCTGACTGGGCAGAGAGCACTCGGAGTGGAAGAGCACAGAATTTATTCTCCTGCATCCACCCAGAGTGACAAGACCCAAGTGTACCTCATGTATGGCATTTATCACAGGAGGCAATGCCAGTTGCTTGGAACAAGTGAAAGGAGCAAATGAAAGCTGGGTGCTCTTACTGCTTTAAGGCTGAGAGCTGGCTGCAGGATTTTTAGGCTCACCAGAGCAGCCCTACTGCAGTGTATCTAAGAATCAGGCCAGCCTCTTGTGTTTTACAGTGGTTCTGTCTCTTGCCCAGTTTCTCACAGATCCCAGAGTCCCTATAATGTCAGGAACATACAACATTGTAATTTATCAATTATCCCATGGTGGCTCTTGGCAAACAGCTTCAGCAAATTTCCCTGAAAACACAGGTGACTGAAGTTAGCTTGTTTGTTTATTTAGGTTTTTTCCCCCTCTCTCGCAGGAAATTCTCAGATTCATCCATTTGGTTTGCCGTGGCAGCTGTGAGTGCAACTTCCCCAAACGTCAGCCGTGCAAAAAATGTCTTCCTTGTTCTGTTTCCTCTCAAGCACATCCTTAATTCTCACCTCTCCCTGGAGAGCAAGGCTGTCCCAGCACTGCAGCCCAGGGACCACAGCGTGGTGTCCTGAGGCTCCCACAGCACTGACTCAGTAATTGCAAGGGATTGCTCCTCTTGGCAGGGGCTTGGAGTGAGAGAGCTCATGGCAGTGGAATGCCAAGCAGTGTGGGGTGGTTGGCACAGGACCCCCAAAGTACAGCCTTCTGTGCCACACCCACGGGAATAAATACAGGTTATGGCAGCAGGGCTTCATGCAAGCTCAGAGGTGACGTGTGGAGCAAAGGAATCCCTCCCAACACTCCTGGCAGATTTGTTTCCATGGGGAGAACAGACAGCAAAGGATAGACAGTGTAACAGAGGCTGTCCTTCCCTCGTGTCTGTGCTCAGCAGCTGCTACCATGGGTGTTGAATTCTAGGTGAAGTCTCAAGACAACGAATTTATTTAAGAATTACAGTGATTGTTTCAAAATCATCCTATTTTCAGGCTCATTTCTCCTCCCTTCCTGCTCAAACCGTGTCTTCCCCTCTGTCTTATTTGTCAAAACTTTTACTCACAGACCCTGGGAATAGGTGCAGATAAAGAAATAAACAAAGAATGCATTTCAGCTTATCCAAGATGTTTTCTGTGCTTTGGGAAAATAAACTTCATTGTCATCACTTATGTCCTCAAAAGTACTCACAACAAAAGGGTTTCTAAGAGACAGGAAAAATTCAAAAATGATTGGAAGAGAGCCATCTTCAGTCATCAGACTATCACAAGCAGCAAATAAACCACATCCTCGGAAGCTGCGAGCACCCGAAACTGGTGTTTTGTTTCTGTTATCGTAGCAACGGCAAGTCTGAACAGCAGGATGTGTGCTCACAATGCACGCTCGTTATTTCTCATGGTGACTGTAACACTCTGCTCGTTAAGAATAACCTTTCACCTCGTCAAAACCCAATTGCTCTGATAAAAAAAAAGGCAGTAGTAAAAAAAAAAGAAAAAGAAAAAGAAAAAAGAATGTATATGTATGTACAGATAGTGCAGCTCACAGACCAGTTTAGTTATTATTCATTATCTTGATTTCAGTGTTTCCACAGCATTTAAAAATAGAAATGGGAACAAGTCACTCTCTCTCTCTCTCTCTCTCTCATGTCCCTTCCCAGCCCATAGGTTAAATAGCTTGAGTCATCTACAGGGTGTGTGCATGGCCAGGGGAGCGGTGCCTTTGTACAGAAAGAAATTGCTGAGGACGAGAAGATGGAAAAAGTGAGCAGGCAGC